GGGGGGGGGGGGTGCAAGGGATTTGAACTCTGGTTGAATACAGCGACCCAACCAGACCAGGCCGCGGTTGAAGGTCCGGCTGGCAGGAGGGGTTGAGGGTGGTGGTGAGGTACTTCACTGATCAAAAATTGGGGGGGGGGGAATATGCATGGAGGGTTGCCCAAAAATGCACATTCATGGATCTTGAGACACATTGCTTATCCCTTAGACGGCTCCCTATAGAGACGGACTAATTGAAACAGACCCCCCCCCCCCAATCTGTCACGTTCAAGGAGCAGAATCGATTGCCTACCTACTAGGCGGACCCTCATTCATTATGTTTGTATAGTTTTGTTCTAAATTTGTAACGTCTTCTGTTATTTTAATGCACTTCGCTCAGCTACCCCGTGCACAATGTTAACGCACGGGGCCCTACGTATATTTTACAATGCGTGCTTTCCCGAAAAGTACATGGTGCTCTAAACCTAGAGCTCACGAACGCCATACGGGATATCCGTTTAAGGTAGATCACCGGTGACGTGGACAACACCCAAAAGGGGTGAGATGAAAAAAAAATCCGGCAACATCCAACAAATACAACCAATACTTTCCAGAAACTAGATAGCTTTTCTAAAGCAGAAGGGCGGGCTAAAAACTAAAAACTATGTTGGAAGCCTTTTCGCCAAACCCACAAATTTTCTTGTTTAATTGATAATTGCTCACCAAGAAAAAAATACCCCTCCCACCGCAAAATTTGACGTACAAATTTGGTTTACAGTTGTTTTTATGGTCAAAAGGCCCCATTCCACAAATCTATGGACTAATTATAATTTTTTTTCACACCTTACGCAAATGGAAACTTTTGTCAGTAAACAAGCCTGTCAATGTTGTTTTTCTCGCGTGCCACACCTGCACATGCTACGTACACACTGGGCAAAGGCTGCACATGGACTACGTACTGATACCGCCATTGGTATACATACAGGGTTGTCCACAGATCCCTTCCTTCATTTTGCTTATACTGTACAGGAGGCATGCTTCCGGGTTGTCATATTCGCATGGGGCCACAGGGGGCCGCGGAGATCGACCCGCATCCCATACAAGCATAAGCAAAGTAAAGGAAGGGGTCTGTGGACCACCCTGTACGTAAACTTTAAAAGTGTGTACATGGGCACGAACACATTTGTAAATGCGTAAATGAATTACACAGTCTTTAAAGGTTTCCATGCAATGCTATGCCGTGCTATGCACACTCTGTTTAAAGTTTGACATGTACATATCTGAAGTGACAGAGCTCGAGCTTTTTTCTACGTAGGAGTTAACTCACGCCCTTTGGGCTCTCTGGGCAGAAAAAAAAATATTGCCTGACGTGAAAAAGCCTTTCGGTCGGGCCACGAGGAATAATTAGTCTTCATGTGCATGTAAAACAGGATTGTGCAGCACGACTTCACTTCTGAGGGTGATAAACACCTCAGCTACACTCTCAGTCTCAAAAGTGCAGGACTGTACTATGATTTGAAGGTGTTCGAACGCGAGAGGTGCGGTTGTATATGGTGCCGTTATGAGGAAGTTGCCCGATAAGAGGAACAAAAAGAAGGTAGCGCTGAGGAGGTGGCGTGGCGTAGCACCGTCCCTAAACAAAGCAGAACGCGGGCGACCATACTGTGTTTTGTCGCAAGTGGATGTGTCAGGAGATCTAGAGTTGAGAGGGATAGGAAAGGGTCTCAGCGGGGTTTTACAGGCCGCAATAACGGAACGATTACATGAAAATTGGTTGCTTAGATTTCAATGCCACCGGGATTTCCTAGTTCAGAGAAGATGAATGCTGGGGCACTCGCAGCTTAAAGTGCAATTGTCATCGATAAATTTAATGTAAATAACTTTTTAAAACTGGCTATCTGAGTCCGTTGCTTTCGACGATGCTCGGCAGTATCCATGGGTGGGGGTAGGCTGGAGGGTGGTGGAGGGGAAGGGTGCGGTAAGGACAGGGGCAGCGGAGGGGAAGAGTGCGGTAAAGACAACAGCAGACGACGCGGGGTCGCGACAGGAGAGCTACTATTTTTCAACTTACTGGCATGTTTCTGTCTATGTTGAAGTGAAATAATTATAAATGCCCAAGCAAAACTTATTAGTTGACTCTTCTGACTCCACAAGTTTCAAGAAAAATCCCTATTTTTCTAGGAATATGCTTTTTGCTGTCTTAGCGGGCCCACGATGGGGTTATGGTTTGGTTTGTTGATAAAGCGTTCACGATCACATTTGGACCCGAAAACTTCTGCATCAACGCTAAACCATGAGAAAATTAAATTTTGTTATGTTAATCGGGGAAACTGAAAGGGAAACACACAGTTTCCTCGTTTGACCCTCCTCTACTCAAGTTGTTCTCTTTCTTAGAAGGCGTGTGCTCGATTCTTCCATGCATCGTCGAAAGATCGGCTCCTGTTACCAGTCCCCTAACAGATGTACGTCTCCTGGATGTGTGCTCATAAATCAAGTTTTGTTGAATTTCTAAAGAAAAATTGGATCCATACTAGACCGGCGTAACAATCTTGTGTCAAAAAGTGCTTCTGTAAAGTTTGGCTTCGGAAAAGTAAGTTTATACAATCTTCTAAACCGTCCCGGTGTCGTTGTTTAGGTTAGTGTACGGACATATTGCATTGGTACAATTTTAACTCAATGATAAT